GAAAATATGACCTACTTGCTAATAAACTTGGGTCAGAGATGAAATGCAGGACCAAAACAATTCCGTAAGTGATGACTTGGAATAGGATTGTAACGAACTTCCACAAACGCTTTCGATAGTTGTCAAAAAGACTTTCGAAAACATATCCTTTGAGAGTCGATATGGATTCCACGAGGACGAATCGAGAACCATGAGTACAACAAATCTGAGCGCCGGACAAGTACAGCGAGAGTGCCTCAATACGATCCAGCGCTAAAACTAATTAAGCGAAAATTAAAACTAACTTCCAAACTTTGTTCATTTAATTCTGAAAAGTAATTAAATAAAACCTGGTATTTCATGAGATATTCTTAATTCTAACTTCTGCAGATTTCTTCTATTTGGTTTCACATTGATTTAATACAGAATCTAGCATGCAGGACTTGGTTTTTGTATGACGAGGTCAGTCAACGCTAGTTTTTATTTATGATTAGAAATGTTCGCAACAAAAGTATTTATAGCTGGTTTTGCTTATATACATTTGCTTCTTTACTATTTTTTGATCATATCATTTGAATAAATAATTAGAGCTTTGATGAAAGGTTCCAGTGAGTTCCAGATACTTCTCTCAAAATTAACTTATGATAGGCATTCTATGCAACTCCGCATGGGTTACTCGTCCAAAACATCTTACCTAAATTTTGAAATCATTTTAACTTTTCAAGTGTGCATTTAACTTTAAGAACTATGAGCTTTTCAATTTCTCTACCTTTCCAAATCATGAAAATCGAAGCAGTCATTCAATTATCTGATTCTAACTCTTACTGAATTTCCACGATAAATAAAGATGTAACAACATTTTTATGTTCCATAATTCTGAACTGTTCTTTTAGCATCATTTCAATCGAGTGATAAGATAATGTAATGAAGTAGTATGTAGTATAATGAAATGAAGAATTTTTAGCTAACACAAAACAGTTGTTACTGTATAATCCTTACCTCACCTTTTGATGGTAGAAATATAGAAGATATCATTAAAAGATATCATTGCTTTACCGAGTAAAAGTCAATTTATTTTAATTGAGCGAAAAAAGATGCAAGCGTACAGTACAAATTGTTATTTCAATGAAAAGAATAAAATTTTCAGCAGAAAAGAGATACACATTGTGCTTACTTGAAGATTATTTTAAAGCAAAAATAAAATAAAACCTTTGCACAACGGATTTCATTTAATTCTGATTTTGACAGTCACCACACTTGGAACTTCTACTTATTCAAGTGGCAAAAGCAAGAAGAGTGATTGTGATATAAAGCAGTAAGTCAGTGGGAAAGTCAGCTTTTCAATAGTATTTCAAAGAAAGCAAAGGTAAATTGGAAATGTTGGCACTGAAATGAGACTTGGCTAACTTCGCCTTTGCTTAAACCTATCTAATTTTCCCATACATTCATTTGTTAACTTTAGTTCGTTTGTTAACTACAAAGATCCAATTAAAGAATCTGAAATGGAAGTAGTTCTGTACACTTGCGTCAATCACCTTAACTCGAATGCAGGTATCAAATTCCTTGCAAAAATTAATTAGCTTAGTCATTTGCTTGGAAGCAAAAAAAATAAAAGCTATGCTTGAATGAATTCTAACCAAATTAACTTCTATAATTTATAAACAAATTGATGAGAGCAGACCTACTGGAGTCACATAATTCTTCCGAACATCAGTGGTAAATATGAACATTCTATACTTTAAATTCGTCTACTTTATTCAGCTAATAAGCGAATATTTCATCATTTGAACATGAATGACATACTTCTAATTATTGCTAAATAAGTGAAAATTTGCATATAAGCTAAAATCAAATCAGTATATTTGCAAATTTTTGGTAGAGTAATTTCAATATTATTAGTTTCTCTTTTTTTTAATATCATTGGAACAAGGCTTTTCTGACTTCGATTTTTGTTTTTCTTGTTCAGAGCTGGACATGATCTGTGGCTTATTATTTTGCTTTATGCCGATAGATTCTGATCTATTTGATTTTGATCCCATATTGATTTTCCTTGAGTCTTTATTTTCATTGATCAAATCATTAAAGAGATCTTCAAGAACTTTTGGAATCTCAATTTTTTTATCTTTGCTTTGTACAGCTGCAACCATTCTAAAATCATTTGATAAGATTTAAGATTCTGAAAATAGTACTTCCATGTATTCAAACTTAATTGCTGCAAGCAATTAAATTCAGAGATTCAGCCTTTTGATATCTACCAATAAAGTTTGAATTTTAAATCTGTATTTCGACCTTTACCGAAGAAAAAACCGATTACTTGGGGATATCATCGTTAATAAACAGCTCTAAATTTTGCATATGTTCTCTGTCAACTTTGTGCCATGCTTTGATATAGGATAAGTGAGCTTTTTCCAAAAATGGCTACAAATGCAACCTATTAAATCCTATTCAGTGCTATTGCTTTTTTATATCACACTATTCTTAAAATGCAATGTATTTTTCTAGAGAACTGTCAGCAATTATAAGAAGCTCTTGAAAACAATAACGATAACAAATTTCAATAATTATAATGAAAATTACAAAATTTAGTGTCATAAATGTAACAATTGAGCAGCTACAATCATTAATATAACGTAAAAATTTTTGAATTTCCACAAACATTTCTGAATTTGAATTTTCTTAATATACCGCATTAACCCTTTATTTGGTTAGAGTTAAAAAATGCCTACTTCTACGTCCGGTAAATCGCTTTCCGCAATTCGCAAACGATATCTGAAGTCATCCAATATTCGAATTAAATTACGCTGCGTCATAACACGCTTCAATTCACTTTTTGTTTTACACCACATCTGCTTTTTAACTTCAGTATGAGTTATGATATTTAAAATAAATTTTACTGCGCTGTAGGATCACAATTAATCCCTTGAGTATCATTTATATAATTTTAATTTCGATCACTAGACACTCAGAGATTCACTCATACATTTGTATGTATAAGAATGCGTTTTGATCTGATCTGATGATATCAAGACTGAAATTAATTTGTATGTTCCAAATATTCTAAGAGCAAGTCAAACTACATTTAACCGAAACAAATAAATGTATTCGTGAGTACTTAGATGGGCGAATATCAATCAGCAAATTACGTGAGCGCACTACATTTTCACTCACAGCACCTTATTTTTCCAATCCTAAAATGAGTATGCAAAACCACTCAAAGAAGGAAAATGAGTAGTAAGTACAACCATTCTCAGAATCTGTTCCATAATAAGTGCATGAATTTTCAGTTTCCTGGCACGTTTGATGACATCGTTTAATTTTCGCACATTACAATTCAGTGGAAGCAATTTAAGTTCGTCGAAAAATGCCATATATTCTTGAATAAAAATTTGATGTACTTCACTGCTCTAAAATTGCGTTCTCTTTTTCATTTTTCAAGTTATTTACTCAATCACAAGTTTTTTCATTAGTTATAAAGTATTTAAATTATTAGTTGTGGTAACTAAAACTGATCTTGCCCAATAAAAAAAACAGTTCTTCATGAATCAATCCAAAGTTTTGCGATAATTTAGAAACATACAATTATGTCTTTATTATCTTTGGCACAGAAAGAGCCAATGAAAACTTTAGGAACTTCAGGTGATTCTAAAATTCTACTCAAGCTCCACATCAGTGCACCGCGCACTCGAATCAATTCACCAGCTCCTACTTGATCTGCTTTGTTCAGCACTATTTTGATCTGAATTGTATTTGACTAACTTAAAACATTGACAATCGTTTCAGGAGAATGAATTATTTGGTGGGTATTTCAGTGAAAATGTAATATAATGTAGATATAGGAGAAAACGATAAGAGATAAACTTTTATCAACTTGTGCTTACTTTTTCCTCATTTCCTTTTAAACATTGTATTACTTGCTTGTATTCATCACTGATATCCAATTTGGAAGTATCAAATAGCAACACAATCAAATCCACCTTCAAAAACACAGATATACTTCAAAATCTATTTGAGAAAGAATTAATTATTCCATAATTGCACTTTACTTGTAACAATAAATTCACCAGATCTCAACATTATACTTAATGAATGCTAAAATTTGTTTTTTGAAGTTTCAGTCGTTTAAATGAATTTAATTCACTTTTCCTGCAATGTAATTTACAACAGAAGCGAAATCGTAGCCACGTGAAGAACGTTGCTTTTGACCGGAAAGAATCCCTGGTGTATCCATCAGAGTTATATGCTCGAGTAATTTTGCTGGAAGTGTAGCACCACGCATGCGAGTTAAAAACGCTGATCCAAACATATTCAATGACTATAATACATTACTCAGAATTGTTTCACAAAATTTTTAAAGTTTTTATAGTTGCTATATGATTTGTGTAAAATTTTCTGACATAAAGAATTATCACATTATGATAACTGTCGGCTGTAAAAGCAGCGTTAAATTACTGAAAATATCATAAACGACCAAATGATTTTACAAATTATAGTTATCTGCTAAATATAGAATTACTCCAGAATAAAATTTGTAAAATGCACAACTGATCTTTCCAATAACTCATTTCAGTTTCAAACTTGATGTGTGTTCAAAATGTTCATCATGACAACAAGTGACAAAAAGTACCTGAAATGGCAGTGTGTTATCAGACGCGAGCGACGTGCCCATTACATTGGTTGCATTAGAAGAATGGTAAATAACTGTGAAGCAATCTGTAGTTGGTTCAGGTCCAATCATACTTCCAGGGTATTCCATTCCGTTGAGAAGAAACTTAATCATTGATGTTTTGCCCACAGAATACTGTAATACGTTGATCACGCCTCATGCTGAATGTTACGAACGTATGACTCAGTTTGTTAGGAACGTATGACTTTAAAAATTAATATCAAAATAAAATCTCTGGCAATGCATTAGTTACTTTATCCTTGAAAATAATGTGACTGGAACCTGTCCAAGAAAGAGCACCATGGGTTTAGCGTCAAACTCGGCTCGATACAAAGCAGGAGTATAGAACTGATCGAAAATATGTCGCTTTTCCACAGGCAGCATCTGAATTTGCATTTAATTTTGTAGCCGGAGTGCCGGAATGCGATCCAATGCCAGAATCAATAAAGCGAAAACGAAAACTAGTCTCCAATTTTATTTTGTAATGTATATGTATCCAAGTTCAAATTGTGATTGCATGAAATTAATATGAGAATTTTTGAAATTATTTCTTGGTCAAGAAGAAATCTTTTCATTCTCTGCAAATTTTTCATAGACATTGTTGTAATTAGTTACCACTGAACAAAGCTTTCTGATGCACATGTACATGTACTATTGTTAATATGATGAGCTCTTATCGATAAAATTAAAAATCTTGATAATATCATGGGGACTGTCATTGCGGAGGAAACTCTAAATATCTTTTAAACAATATTTTTAGAAATAAAAATGCAGTACCTTTTGTTCATAGTTCATATAGAGCACCTCAGCAATGTTTTCTCTGGTTGGTTGCGGTACTGGTGGCTAATAATAATTATTGTAAGCATATGCCGCAAGAAGAGATAGTTGCAATGAGTAAAAGTTAACTACTTAGGTTTTTGATTTATATCACTGCAAATATATTAAAAGATAGATTGTTATTTTTCTTTTGCTTCCCAAAACCTTGATAGAACTTCAAAGCTCAACCAGTTCTTAGGAGATATCTGTAATAATTTTCAGCTAAAACACCCAAGCAACATTATGCTATTAGTATTTTATTTAAAATGCCTAAATATAAAACTCTTGAGATGTAGCAGCTGACTAATGGAACTCGCTTTTGTTTGAATAGCCACATTTCTTTGGATCAGACTAGCAGACGATTCCAGTTCAACCGCTCTACAGCTGTGAATTAAACAGTAATATTGTTTTTGGGTAGAAATGATAAATTTCTTTGTATGCAAAATAGAGTAGCAGATTAAAATGAAGATATATTCATAGAAACTAGTACTGAGTTAAGTAGTCGAGTCTTAAGTCACTACTTGACTAATTAAAATGGTTGAGTGATAAGTTAAAATAACAAAATAAGAAATGCCGAAGCGTTATGTGATTTTATTCGCTCAATCACTGGTTTGTGGAAGTTATGTGCAAGGTTTTTCTAACTGATAATGTTATTGGAATTTAAGCAACTCAAGTACCGAGACATTTGAATAGGTCTAGACTGTTATTCAATTCAAAAGGGAATCAGTTATTTTCAGTACGTGTTAATGACTTCACTACTATCAATAGTCAAATTAATCAGTTTAAAAGTAAATCATTTACTCATTCACTTGCTTATTTATTGATTAGATGTCGAAAATTGCTCAAATGCTGCACCGAAACTACACAAAATATCTTCCCTGAAAATTTTCCTACAGCTGCTCGCATCTGTTTGGCATTACTATCTCCGTGCTTCAATGCATTCCATTAATTATAAATAATGAAAGAAAACAAACAGTACTGAGAACATCAGTGAACGCTGATTTCCGTTTACACACAGGTCATCAACAAAAATTTGTTTATAAATTCAGTTCAATGATCTGATCAAAAAAGAGAAGTACCTCTATTTTACACTCAGAGATATCAACGCTTCCTGCTCTCATAGTATCAATTTTTCAATTTACAGTTTGAAAGCCCTTTTTGCAACTTCTCATCTATATCTCTGTTATTCGATACGATATTGAAAAGTAAATAATGCCTGCTACGAATTATCATCTTGCTATAAATATATGAAATTATGAGCAGCAAGGCAAGGCAAAAATCAACGGCAATATGCAAATTAGCATGTATGCAGTTGTCGACTCAGTTTGCACTTCCTTGTGAGTGGGAATTTTTCTGGCGCAAGAAGCATGTTCATGTTATCAGATGTTTCATATGTTGTTAGTTATAATGCGAGTTTTTTAACTTTTAATTCATCACACCAGACTTCTTTTTTACCTAATTTGCGCGTTTTTATGTACATTCTTTTTCACTTTTGCCTCTTGAGTTGAGCAGAGCAATTTGAAAAATATCTGCAGAGAATCCACAAGAAATACTTACTTTCTCAGTTACATTTATTTCCTGAATATAATGATGCGCATGCTCAATTTATTTGAATTTTGAGTGGTCTCGTTTCAGATTTGTTCATCATTCGAACCCACTGTTCCTCGAATACAAAATTTGACAGTTTGCGATCAAAAAACATTTTGTAAAAAATACAAAAATTCATTTTTTTTGCATTAATTTCTGTCCTCTCTTTCGTGGAAACTCCATTAGAAATATCCCACTTACAATTCCAGTGTAAATATTTCCAAATACTTAATTCAGTTTCATTGCAACTTCCTTAACTCTAAGGGTGTACTATGCGTACGTCTTTCAGCTGTTCAGCTATCGGTAAAGTCAAAATATCCGAGCTGCCCGTTGAAAGGCTATCGCTGTGATACCCACCCTATTCTTTGGGACGATTTTTTAGATGCAGTATCTCTTCTGAAAACCAGAATACTGTACTTTTGCAACTTTTAATTTCTCTCACTGAGCTAAAATTATACAGATTAGGTTTTTGAGATCTGTTGCTGCTCGTTTTATCATCTATTTCTCTTTCATTTCTTCTAAATAGTTGAAATCTAACAGCAAGCTTTTAAAATGTAAAAACGTTTACATACACGTGCAAAAATGAGTTTTTGTGTGGGCGAAGGAGGTATGTTAAATTCTGTTAGCAGCTCTTAGCAGGAAAGATTGTAATAAAAGTTCAAGGTGGAAAAATTCACTGATTGTCTTGAAGGCAAAGCAGCGTTATACTGAGACGAGAAGTTTAGCATCCTTTTAATTTCTAACCTTTTTCAGATGACCACAAATCGTGCTCTGATTTCGTGCCTGTCCAAATTACCGATTCTCAAGTGGCTTGAACTGGTAAGCTTATCCACTTTTCAACTTCGTCCGTAGTCCTGTCATATGATATATTAACAGCACAAATAGCAATAATACTATCAGTAGCATATTAATCGCAGCAATAAGTGCTATGTATTTCAGGTAATAATTATATAGTTAGTTCTTGTGCACAGTATTGATATTTTCTTGTTACTAACAGTATTGATGATTTCTGTTTTACTATAGCAGTAAATACTAATTACTGTTGCTATTTGTAGTGCATACAATAAGAATTTGTAATTTTTAGTTTGAAACTATTGCATCTAAATATCAACTTGCAAAGTACATATTCTTTCCATCTTAATAAATGTCTACTTCATTTTTATCGTTTTTTGAATAATTTGAAAATTAATAGCGTTGTTTAGGCAGTCTATAAAAATTATTTGATAGAATAGCATATTGTTGTCTAACTAATACTGGCAGTGATTGCTATGAAGAACGTTCAGCTTTTTTGAGATGAGACATTGATGGAGCAGTTTGGACTGTTTAAAAATTAAAAATTAATTGCTGTACTGCTAATATTTTCTGCATTTAAGCAATAAGCAAAGGTGTGTGTGTAGATGTTGCTGTAATTATACATAAATACATTGCAGCAATATCTTCACTTCTTTTTAACTTGAGGTGATGATGGATTTTTGTGCAAAGAATGTTCTTACATCTAATTTACATAAAAATTGCGTTAACATCGAAGAATAGAGCCTTTTCAGGCCTGCTCACTGATAATCGTTGTGTTTCTTCATTACGGCATTTACCAGTGGTTCATCTATACAGCAATTTACTTCATTTCCGTACTCCTTATTGTGTTTACATTTCTGTCACTGATTGCTTTTTTCATGGATATACAAAATTTTTACTACATTGTTAGTTTTAATTTAAGGTTTTAGTTGAAAATGATCACTTCATTTTACCGTTTTGCATAAACAAAGAATCAGAGAATTGATTCCATGTATTTAACCCTATTAAAATATTATTCGATTATTACCTAACTAATCATATATTTTTGCATGTTTGTATTTCAAGTACACAAGAGGACCGGATTAAAATGAAAACTATATCTGACAGTTTGTAGGACAAAGCTTTCAATCTTGCTGCATTTTTGATATGTTTATTTATTGATTGCTTGCTGACTTATGATCTGATAGAAATGGTATCTGGAAGTTTTGCCCATCATCGGTACCTACCACCATTGGAAATCGGTAAAGAAGGTTGGAAGAATCGCACCGCTGTATGCAATGTGTGTTTTTTTTAAAAATTAATGTAATTAGATTTAATGTAATATTTTCTAGGAAACGATAACACAGTGATATAATTTACAAGAATTTCTTGAGATTTATAATTCAATTAATGTGTCAAAACATTTTTTGCATTTCAGGTTTCAGTGCTATTACAAACGTTATTTTACTTAACGTCGTTTGTGTTGAACAAAAATGGCTAGCTTCCAAGAACGACAGTCAACTTTTGCTTTCTCATGACGAAAGCACAGAAAAAATTTAAAATCAAAATTATAGCTGGGTTAAAAATTGCTAGCTTTTGAGCTTTTTTAATACTATTAAAAACTGACTTGAATGAATCAGATAGAAGAGTTATCCTACTGAAAAAAACATTCTAGCTGATGTCTGTACTCACAAGTAACTTTCATAACTCGTTTTCTTCTCCCTCAACAAAGGTGTCTTTCAAAATTGTTGAAGAGGTGAAATATAAGCAAAATATTTTGCGATGCAAAAATAGTTCAATAAATACCATTTGCATTATTTTTTGAAATATTTGAGACACTGTATATGTGGTGAACAGTGTGATCAGCAAGTCAATGTTATAGCACTTATTGTTACATTGACACATGCGATCACTAATCAGAGGAAATTTTGAATTAAGATAAGCGTGCATAAGACAAAAGACGTATGCACCAGTTGTTATTCGCGCGTGCAAAAATGTTGGAGTTTGTTCAGTACTGTTAGAATAAAACGAATAATGAAGTGAAGAGTATAAAGTTCATGAATTTGCTGTGTTTTAATTCTTAGCAGTTTTGTGAAGTCGTGAGCGGCGGTTTCGTGTTTGAGCAGAACTCTTTCAACACTCTTGGCTTAAAAGCTCTGTTAGCACTGACAACGGATGGAGACTTTTAGTGTATCATTTGTTAGGTACGTTTCATTTTCGATGTTAAGAGCGAAACAGATGAAATTAGTATCTAAAACTCATAGCAAATTGTGAACTACTGTTTTTTCAAAAAGACTGTGTGAGAAATCTAAAATGCGTACTTTTTGGTGCTCCCATTTATGTTTCTCATTTTGTACCGTTTTTTGTCACTCAAGTTCTATTTAGAAAATGGAAAAATGAAAGACTGCAAGAAAACAATAACTGATTAATAATATTTCAGTTTGCAAACAACGTTGTTATTTGTGATCAGCATATTGCCGATTTGGTGGGGTTGCTGTAATCGATCAGTGAATCCTGGTTCAAAACGATATTACAGATCACCAATATCGAATGAAACACGAATGGACGCAGACAGCGCTGCGAAGACATGTCCTGAATCTCAATCACCTTTTTCTCTAGCACCTAAATCTCGAACAAGGAAATCCAACTTCAAAGACACAAAATCACAGTCATTATCAAAACTCCACTCTCGAGTATTTGATTATTTTTGTCATAAATATTTATACTTGAAATTTGCTTGATACATTATTTATTACAAGCGTTATTTGTGCACTTCTGGAAGTCATTCTAAATAAGAGTTTCTGAAATTACTTCACTTCAAAGATCTCAAAATTAAAATTTAATTCACTAGTAAAGCGAAAGTTAATGAAATAAATTGAAAGTAGATAGTAACTCAAGTATAAGATTCTGGCGATAGTTCCGCATTGGAACAAAGAGGGATTAAAAATGTTGAGATGCTCCAAGTTATGCAAGGAATAGATAGAATCTAATGAAGTAACTCAAAAATCAATTATGATATAGTTAGCTTACTTATAATGGAAGTTCTACTTTTATTTTCTAGTCGGTGTATTTTATAAAGGCAAGTCAGGCAGAAACTTTGAAAAAACTTCAAGTAAACAAACTATTCAGGTGTGATTAAATTCAGAGCATAATTTTCTGAAAGCATGCCTACACTTCAAAGTTTTGAAAATATTTAGTTTTTCATTTTATTAGTAATTTATATGGGCTTGAGTCATCTCAGTTTAGAAGTGCTACAATGCGTTCCTTAGTTAATGTTCTGCGCTGGCGTGAATGTATATTTGAAAGAAAGAGTGTAGATGACTACTTAACTGATCATATTTATAGTCAAATTCGAAATCGAAATCTATAGAAAGGAAGAATGAGTCGAATTTATTTCAACCTGCCGTGATTGCAATGCAGGTATACTAATTAATTTTGCAGCCGTTGAAGTGCCTTGTCTTATGCTTTAAAATCTAGTGACTTCGTCGATGTTGCTAGAGAGGTGACATATAAATGTTTGAGTAAATTGCACATATATTGCAGCGTAAAGAAAAAGAACAGGACTCATTTGCTACGCACATACCAAAGAAAAAAGTTGCACGAAGAAGTTTAGAGGTATTTGCTCAGTTTTCTTTAATAGTTTCTTTTGCTCTGATATCTCGGACTGGTCAAACTTAAGATCGAGCCAAGCTTGATCACAAATTGGCTGCTTCAGATAAAATCGCGACCACCAGTAGGCTGCGATCGAGATGATTATAAAACTATTCCTGCTTATATGTTGCCATCATCAAACGATGACTTATGAATAAATGAACGAACTAATAGCGATATAATTCGGTCATGATTATGTCTACTGTTAAGCCAATTGTCTGCATTGCATATAAGTTATCGCCAGTAAGCAGATCGTCTATGGAGAAGTTATGTGCATTAAAAATTGTCAGTAAATCGCAAGAATCAGAAATTTTGCATATTTTACTTACTACAAAGTCAGTCAAAGTTACATAAGAAGTAACATTACTGTAAATACATTACACTTTATTATTATTAGCGTTTATTCCATTAAATCTAAAAAAAGACTGATGAACATGCAATGCAATTATTTTATATGTAGCAAATTACGCAAATTGAGGCTTCTAGCCCATCTAAATTCTTGTTTGCTGTTGAATTATTCACCCCATATCGGATAAATTTTGGAAAATAAAATATTGAAATTAACCTCAGTATAGATATGTATGTCAGTTTATTTTAGAAAATATAATATTGAAACTCTTTCCACAATTCAGCATGTACTGGTGAAAAATCAAGGCGATCATAGGAACTTATGTGTTGAATAGTTCATCGATAAGCCTGGTTAACAAATCTTTTTATAAGATTTTATTAAATTTTCAGCTCGCTTGTGAGGCAGGAAAAGATTGGGTAAAGTGCCGGATGGCAAGAAATTACTATAATTTGATTTCATTTGCAGGGTGCAGGGTCTTCCTCGGTATCGAACAAACTATCGTTTTAATAGTGTCAAAATTTAAACCTCCCATTTTTTGAATTGTTAGCAATATTGTTTGTGGAAATTTAACCAAAAGTTGAAATAAAAATCGAAACAACTTTAAAATATTAAATTATTTTCAAAATAGTTTGGTATTAATTAAAATTATACAAAGACATCTAAACTCAGACTCATTTGTAAAGGAATGGAATCACATGCATGTATGTGACTCAAAACTCTTCAAGCAGCCAAGTTTTTAATTACATCAAAGTAAATTATTAACATCCAATTTGCTAAAGGCGATGCAAATATGACAGTGCCACTCTTTTCATATTTTTTACATTTCAAACTTTACTGCTGAAGGAACGTTAAGTTTATTTTCATGTTTGAAGTAAAAAATCTGTTGTAGGCGGACGTTCTTTAGTTTTGCTGCTGTTAAGGCCTCATCTGGCAGGCCTGGCACAGCTTATCTCTGCCCTATATTAGGCATAAACACATCCTTCGGCATATAAAGCCAGGTTCTTCAGATCGATGCATATCTGCTTTTTTCATTAATGAAAACGCATTTATTGCCTTTTTGCATGATTATATGACATTTACAATATTATTTCTCTCTCTGTATATATCAGACATTACCATCAGTTCGGAGGTTAATCTTATTTTCTGCATTATTAATCCTCGCATTGGATTGTGTTTCGGTACTTTTGCAGTACTCAATCAGTGCTCATTTCTGCTGTTCCGGTGTACTGCTCAGAGTTTTATCATGTCCTTTACGAAGCGCTTTTTATACAATCTCATCTGTTTTTTATTTGTTTCCATACATGATTCCGGGCTTGTTTTTTCTCTGTTTACCCTCCATTCCTTGCTTTGTAATGCGATCGACTAGTTGGCAGCTCAACCGCTAGGCAACTCGGCAAAGCCGAGCAATACATATAATATGTCGAAATCAATAATAGTAAAATGTAGAGGTTAGTTTTCGTTTTCACTTTATTGGTTCTGGCGCTGG